GTCAAGGATCGCGTTATGACATTTCCTAGAAACCATGAATCTCCTTACACGAAGAACGTATTATACCCTAGGACAAACACTAAGGGATTAACTTCGTTATGATATCGTTATCGAAGCATATGAATCGGGGGTTTGGTTTTAGTTGTCCGGCCCATTACAATACACCCTTTTCTTTCGATGTACAGAGAATTTCAGAAAAGTGTGTAGGTTTCGTCTTATCCTTGTTATTCACTGAACAAGGTAGCACGTATCGTGTTATAAATGACGCCATAACTTCACAGTTGTAATACACGCCATGCTCCATATACCATGGAGGCAAAAACTTCTTTTTTTTTTACCTCCATGCATATACAAACTGTACAGATCAAACATAATAAATACATTGTTTATATATTTCAGTGACTGTCGTGGAAGGTCTTAATTGTTACGTGTGCTCTTACAGTCTGACAGCAGAAGGTGAAATTGGTACAAGCTGCAGGGACGACCCTCCAGCCACCGGTAAACTGTACACATGCCCCAGCGACGACGACGTGTGTGCGGTAAGTGTTTCTACGTCGATCTAGTATATATTAGTAGTTACAAAGCTCAGTTTGTTTTTGAATTCATCTACTAGTATATAACTACGAGGCAGCGGGTTACAAACGAGCAAAACGTTTACTTTCGTAAAATCTCTAAGCGCCATAGTCGCCCGGCATAGTCGTCGCGAGGATCGCCACGTGGTGTTCGATATGGTACCCATACGACGTATAAAACAGATTGGTTTGGGTACAAACATCTAATTATCTGTACTTTATATAAATAAATAACCCTCTCTATTGTAGAAATAATATACCTTTTTACAACATGTTTTGAAGCCATTAGCAATGACACGTTCTTGTTCAATTTACGTACGCGATATTGATTCCATTAAAATGTATTCAGTTTAAAGCTAAATTATATGTGTTTTTACTCATAATCGCCGACTTATTGAAATTTGCAAACTTTTATACCGAAATAGAACACAACCAGAGAGCGAGTGTGACAGGTTGTCATGACGACGTGGAGTAATTGGACAACAAGTCTATTAGTATCGTTGGTATTGTCCCCAATACGACGAATATTGACTAAAGATCTCTTTATTTAAAGTCGAGTAATAATGTGTTGTGCAGTTTGAACTGTGCTACCCTGTTTGTAAGATATGCAAATTGATATATAACGGTTTTGTACAATTTGGAACGATCTCGACTTTTGTGGATTGCTGTCAAGAAGTCATGTGAAGCATAGATGTGAACGAAGAAAAAATGGGGGGGGGTATTGGAACAATCTTTTGAATATTTAACATTATAGTGTTCCACGGATTGTTGGCGATTTTTTTAAAATGGTCCATCGCTAGAGACATTATCGCTACGGAGAAAACATAAATTCATTGTTTCCGTTCTTTGCCTTTTATTTAATGGAAGATTTCGCAGAGGGAAATATCAATGATTTGTGTTAATTTCACAGTTATTCTAATTTAGAATCATCTAATCATAAATACTTATAGATTTCACTGGCATTCATTTGATACAATCAGTCAGGTAATGGGCGCAGTGCAATGACATCATTTGAGAACGCTCCAATGTTATTTCATCGCTCAACAAAAATCTATGTTTCTGTTTGAATTGTGAAATTTATAAAAATGAAGGAAATGAATAGTAATACTATTTATTAGTTTTAATGAAAACAGTGCGTGTGTTCATAACGACAATTGCTGCTCTGCGAAATACTAGTATACATTGTATTTTATATAAACCCCGATATTTTCTCCTTTTTTTGGATGATATTCCCCAATGCCTTGTCCCTCGCAACCCTCAGATCAATCAATAATTAATTTCTTAATTAATAAATTAATTTCTATTTATTTTTAAATTTACATGCTCACAGCTGAGAGTCTCCAAAATCAACGGTCATCTTACTGAATTGAGACGGTACTGCTCCATGAACTGTATCAGTGCGGACGAGGAATGCAATGAAGAGGACTACCAGACAGACTTTGACACAATGCATGATGGGATATGTTACCGTTGCTGTGAGGAACATGGATGCAATGGCAGATGGGCTGATACAGCCAGCAGCGTATCGGCAGCAAAACTTGTAATACTAATATCGGTAACCATGGCAACATTCCTGAGCTGATGAACAGTGATTTTGAAATGAAACAAATTTCACCTTTATAGTGTTAATTTGTCAGATATTTGAAAGTTTGAGTCTGAGGAATATTGGGAGGGCACTATTTGAAAAGAGTGAAAACCATAAAACACGTAGCTGTAGCAAAGTTCAAAAATATTGATCCACCATCCTCACCCCCCATGCTTTTAATGGTCGATCCCTTACTGGGTTACAATGAAAAGGAAACACACATCAGTGTTGTACCGGACATTAACATGATGTGCAATTCAAATTGATTTTATATTGTTCATTACAAATACAATTTCTAAATACGTCTGAATAGATACAAACATTTCTGCCCATTTCCTAGACAGGCGTAGTTTTCAGACATTTCCTGTTCTTAAACGAAAAAATATTGGCCTTATTTAAACATTGTGAAATGTACAGCAATTTCTTTTTAGTTTTCATATTGTGTTCGAAATATACAGTGTTTTGACAAGTACTCATTAGTTAAAGTTGAAAACAGCCTGACAAAGTAGGTTGTTATTACGCCCTCTGACGATGGTTAACATGTTGACGTAGAGGGCGCTAATCACATAAATTTACCAGACGAGGTAGAAGAAACTGGAAAACTATTTTTTAATTTCTAAGATGACAAATATTTATGGTTTTTGTTAAAATATATTGTTATATGCAAATTTTGATTTTATATTTCAGAACAGATTATTGAGAAATATATAGAAGTTAAATTTTTTATGTAAATTTTACAAATGTTTTAATATATTTCTGATGACAATAAAATTGAAATCATTTTAAATTGTGTTACTTCAGTCAGTGGAAAGTTTACATTCAAGTTGATGTGCATTTGCATATATAGTTTCTATTGAGCTGAAGACATAACTGCTAACTGTAAGCATGTACACATAGTTCGTAACTTTTCACCACCACTTCCCTCTTTTCATAAAAATTCACAAAATAGTCCCGTTTATAGTCTGCACTTTCCATCAGACGATTGGTACAAAAATAGCCAATTTTTTTGAGTAAAAACCGAAAATTGAGTCAGGTTTTGTCTGTTGGTTCCAAACGTGGGATTCATTTCAAGAAATATTGAAGAATATACCAGTAAGAAAAAATCACGGAAAAATGTGGGTGAGAAATTCAGAGGTTGAAAAAGTCAAGTACAATATCAAAATAAAAATTGACAAATACTTTCAAAGTATTGCACACATCCCTTTCCTTACCAGGTTAACTTGCAGTGTAGCTCTCTATATTTCTCAAGGTAGAAGCCAACTCATAAACGCAAATACCGGGCTACCCAGAATTTAATCATTTTCCAATAAATAGTACTTAAGGACATAAGAATATTTACTTTAAAAAGGTTGAGGGTCATTAGCCTAAATTTTAACGAAATAATGACTGTATTTTGTGTAGATAGTGGCCATTTATTCAGCATTACAACACATTTACCATAGCTTCCTATGGCAGAGATATGGCATACCTTAAATTGTAAGCTGGTGATACAGACTGAAAAAATCATATAACGTACTGTGAATGATGGAGTACTTTTTGTGTTTCTGAATTATTAAAAAAAAAAAGTGTTGAAAAATGCAATTTTTTTTCTTTAACATACTCTATGGAATTGCTCAAAACTAGTAATTTTGAGAGATACGAGGACAATTTTTGCAAAAACACACTAAATAATTCAGAGAGTCATGTCAGGTAATTTATTTGAGTTGTGGGGATGACAGTGAAATAAGACAAGTAGGACATATCTAATTATGTGATTTTTATTTCACCTCAAAAATAAAATCTTGACAGTTGTAAAACTTCATGGCGAGAATACAATAAATCAAATGAAAGCAGTCAAATTAATACAAACTTGATATCCCAAATTCAATTTTGCAACAGTCGTGCAACATCGGGTGTTCAATACAAATGCACCCCTTTTCTTTTTTGCTGAGCATAATATATTTTTTTCTGTCTGCACTTTATAAAAATGTCATCTGTGTTTACTTTTCCCATGATGCAACATGCTGAACATAAACACTTGAGGTACTAAGAACTGAAACACTGATAAATTGTTACATGTGTTAATCAGTCTAAATTCATTTCAACATGAAAATAAACAGTAACATTTTTCTGTGTGTATTTTTTTATTCTCAGATATTGTACAAATCAATTAATTTAACTGAAATGAATAAGACACTTACCCCGACAAATACAAAGCTTCAAATTGACTAATGTCATATCTGCTTTTCTGAAGCTTCTTGAAATTAAGAAAAACTTATTTGTGTTTCAGGATATACACTAATGACAATAAATTCCTAATTGTACTACTGTAAAACCTTCTAAATTAGGAAAAAGTAAATCCTTTTTCATTTAGATAATAAACTAAATAATTGAACGGAGAAAAAAATGTTAATGCCAACAGCCATATTATTCTGAAAATACAACATCAATATGATGTGAACCAATTCACCTGTAATCAAAATCAGATACACAGTCTGGAATAATTTACACAGCGTATAAACAAAATAAACAAATGCAAACTATAGAGGGCAGTATATACATTTTTTGCAAGAAACTTTCATAATAGTTAAACAATAAGTAATTGCTTTAAAGACAATTATAATTTGTACAATATTGTTATTGTAAGTAATATATATTTATGTTACAATATATATTTACCAACAAATTTTCTTTAGGTATCTAATTTTCAACTCTGTGTAAAGGAGTACAGTATCCATAAAGAAACAATAGAGGAAGCATTTACTGTTAGACAATTTAAACATAATTTTGTTGATCAAATCCTGCTTTCTCCGAGAACTGTCACCATCAATATCACATGTATATTTTCACCAGATTTCTGAGCTGCTTATTTATTTGTAGGAATTTGCACGATGTTTGGGAAGAAACTCAAAACCACTGGGAACAGGACCAAGTAACATCTCACTGAAAAAAAGAAAATATTGAATATTAAAAAGATAAAAATATGAAAAGTATATTAATATGTGATACCTACAAAGTGTAAAAAAAATGAACGCCCCCCCTCTTTACATCTGCCTAGATTTTTGTCCAAACTGAGGCAGGATCAAACTGAATATTTGGTTGAATAATTCAAGCAGTCCGACCCAGTTATGAGTTGCCAACCCATGCACACTACTGACTAGAAAGAAACATTCTATTGTTGAACTTAGTGATTGAAACTGAATATGCTGTATTAGTTTTAACTACAAACACTGACTTGAACATATTATCGATGGTTTATCATTTACTGTTTATTTGTATACCATCTGAGCTTTTTTTATCTGTTTATTTGGGTAATCCTTTTTTATAATTAGAATTATAAAATTGAGTTACCAATTAAGGAATTGTTCATTTGAGTAGTTTCGGAGTACGACATTGTCACCATTCCTCAAATTAATGCCAAATTGTTATTTAAGAACCAGCTTTCCAATTTGACTTTTGTTTTTGATTTTTTGATTGGACTGGGCCAAGAATAAGTGACTTTGCAATATACCAAGTACTTTAATATAAATTATTTTCGTTTGCAATTAATTTTCCCTACTTTCGTTGAAGGAATGATTCGATGAAAATAAAATCCAGCGAATATATCTTTTTTCCTATATTTTACATTCAATTCATCAAAACACCCAAAAAAGTCCTTTCAGCAAAAATTAATTCTAGCTAAAATACAGTTTTTTACAGTAACACTTGAACTCATGAATGACCTATTGCCATTAATTTTCTCAGTGAGAAATAAATGTGATTGTAGAAAGCATGAAACAAATTTATACACATACAAATACATAGTTACCATAGTTACCTGATTTTGACCCAATCACCACAATTTGGGCTGGCCATTAATGTCTCAAGATCATCCCTGCCGAAATAACATGGCGGGCGCTGATTAATTTTCTGGGGGATGCTCTCTAATATACCAACGGGAATGTAGCGATATAAAAATGACAACCATTCCAGGAGAAATCTGCGAGTTCTGTCAACTCCCTGTGAAATAAAAATTTAAACAATTATATCTTAAAAATTAATAATACATATTGTTGAGTACAACTACAATTTTATTTAATTTCACACCGGTTGATCAATAACATGAAAATGTTGAAACTGAAAAATAAAATTTCAAATTTTTTTTAAAAACAAAAATAGTTCTTCTTAAGAGATTTCTACATCTAACTAAATTTATTTTCTTTCCAACAATGCGATTATTGTCAATAGAAGTCTTGCAATATTGAGATTTAGATGTACACACCTGTTGATCTGATCCCCAGTGTTCAAGTCCATAATTTGTGAAGTCTCTAAGAATATCAAATCTCTCAGAAGAGGAGATGTCCCAATGTCTGTTGAGGAAGTAAAAAAAAAAAACTATGAAAACTAGTACAGATGTTGGTATAGTTTTTGTAATTCCTTTGCAAATTTTCCAATAGACTAAATTCTATCAGAACCAAAATTTAATTTTTAATAAAAAACAGGTAATATTCTTGAGTAGAAGATTACATGCTGCATGTGTATGATAATTGATTGGTTTCAGCTTAAAATCATCAGTAAGGGTTTAATTGGCTAAACTCAGGGGTTTCATTAAGAGCCGGCCGCCAGCCATATGGCCTGCTATAAGCCCAAATTGGCTGCCTACTTTCTGGTCTCCCCTTGACCGCCTACGGCGGTCGCACTGCTGAGAGCCTTTTTATTTTTTGCCTGTTGTTACAGGATGATGGCCTGTTATTAAATGTATTTGTGAAACCCCTGTAAACTTATGTTTGTTTTCTGTGTGTGTCTGTAACCAAGGTTTTCGCACTTATTTTTTAATGCCATCATTTTTTTGCACCAACAATTTTTGTTGTTGTAAAAGCTATTACAAGTTTAGATTGTCATGCAAGGGTGTTAAATCTGATGAGATATCTTCTTTGTACCTTTGTTCTTTGATTTCAGTGAAGACCCATGGTTTAATTAAAGCACCCCTAGCAATCATGACACCTGACACGCCAGTATGTTGTCTTTGTCTGTTAGCATCTTCATAAGAAAGGATATCGCCATTACCTAACAAATACACAATTAAACATTAGATTTGCATCTCATGTTTCGCAATTCACTTCAACATACTGCATTATACAATAATATGCAAAAAAAATCAGATACATTTTTTTGATAATTTAGCATTGCTATTTTTAGGTTTTGTTAAAATATTTATTTGTTAATACATTACAGCATTGAAATGTGTCAATATCCAAAAGAGGATACGATTTCAATAAAGACATTACATTGAATAGCAATCATAGCTCGAGTCTCTGTCAGTGATCTGTTTTTAATCACCTATGTGGCTTTTCAACACATAACTATGTCATTATTTCTTTGATTTTACATCATAAATACAGCTAATACATTACTGTTTCCCTAAAACTAGAAGGCATGTGCAGAAATGTAGCCGAGTCATGACATCACAATCACGGGATAGCAACAAGTGCATTCTGGGTAAATTACGTCATCGGGGAGAACCCTGAGGTTTTCTGCGCACATGTTTCAATTATCCATGTCAGCTCAGCACAATGAGAAAGTATCAAAAAAAGAATTAAAAAAAACAATTTTGCAAAATCAGATCTTTTCTTAGAGTTTACTAGAACTAACTTGACTCAATATTCTAATACTCACCATATAGCGGCATTGGCTTAGCTATCTCTGCACATTTGGAGATATAATCCCAGTCTGCTATTTTAGTGTAACGTTGTTCACGTGAACGACCATGGAGCTAAAAACAATGCAAGTATACAAGTTACAAGTGAGGAAGATGCATGGACATGCAACTGATAAGTGCACAGCAGGATAATCATTTCCAGTTTCCATTCCATTTCCAAAATTTTGTGCTTTCAATAAAGGGCTGTTGCACTCTATTTGTACTCACCGTTACCATGGAAACTCCCCAATCTCGTAGTCTGGGTAAGACTTTATGTGCTGTAAAGTTGTTGTCTTGGATACCAGCTCTCATTTTGACAGTGATCGGTATATCCATCACCTGTGTAGTTTTGAAAAAGAAGAGAAAACGAGTAATTGCATTTCATAGTCCCAGGAGTTATATATCAAGTTTGCTCCAAAATGCATTCACTAAAACAAAATGGCCACCAGTTGGCCATTTTTTTTAGTACAATCTGACAATCAAAGTGTTGTGCATTATCGTGCTATAAAGTCTGATGTACCTACCAAACTTGAACAAAATCTGTCCATGAACGACTGAGATCCAGATACTAAATTGAAAAAAATGCAATGAATTTTTAACATTACAACTGCAATTTGATCACATATATGATGTATATTTAAGGTTTGAACAAAATGACTTGCATCAAGATCCCATAATGTCTGATGTTTGAACAAAATCCATTTATATGTATAAACAAAAAAATATAAAATGGCTGCCAATTTGACATCTTGAATCTTATCATGATACAATTACATGTGCTTATGTGCGACATGGTGTCAAACATGTATATTATCGGTATGTTTGAAAATAATTCGTCAAAGCATGTTAGATAAGGCCCTGGGAACAGCATACATTAAAAGAAAAGTAGCTTCCAGCATGGACCCTCTAACAGAGTTAGAGGGTCTATGCTTCCAGTCAGCCATTTTTAATCCAATCTGAGAAACAAAATGACATGAATCAAGGCCACATAATGTCCAATGTTTGTACCAAGTTTGAACAAAGTCAGAGATCCAGTTCCAATTCTGATGAATATTTAGCACAAAAATAACCGCCATTTGGTCATCTTGAAAAGGTTTATGAAATGAATGGACATGCATATGGCACTTAAGTCATTGGGTGTATTTGTAAAGTTTGAATGTGATCAGACCAGCCATGTCTGAGATGGAGACACTCACACATATATGGACACATGCACACACACATAAGTCCCCATTTTCAGACTTTCAGACATAACTTCATTCTTTCATATTGATTTCAAAACCCTGGCCATTAAAGCAGATTTGGTTAAGCCAATGGTGAAAGGTCACTGTGTATAAAACCAAATTTAACATGGCTGCCAATACAGATTAAATTCTCAAAATACATACAAGACCAAGTGTAAATTAATCATAATTTTAGAATAAATATAACCATTGTGTATTGATCATTTTTTATCAAACTGCAGTCAATGCTGCTAAGTTTAATTTCCGGAATACAGTTAAATATGCAAACATTCTTGTTGTGAAGGCAAAATCATCACCCTGGAGATGAATGGTTCCCTGCTTGAACTTTGACCTTCACAAGTGTGATGCACCATGGGAATACCACAATAACCACTCTCGCTTCACTCGCTATAAAACCAGGGATATCTATTTTAAGCATGCAAATTTGTATGCAAATTCTAAAATAAAAATATAATACATACTGATGACATTCCTGTTATTATGTGTTCAAATCTGCTGAGTCTACCCATGAGGGCGCAACCACCACCCTGTGAAAAAGGAGGGGAAATCATAAAAAGCTTGTCTACCAGCAAAAACATGCATGGATGGCAGGACACCTGGAATTATTCAACAAATTAACCTTATCACATGCATAGGATTGTATGTAGACTCAATTTCCAGTCTGTCCCCTGCAGTGTTTTCGCTATGACTGGGAACATAGTATATGTAAAACCATTGGGAAAGTATGCTAGTATTCATGCAGGGAGGGCAGGTAGCAAAATTGTTGAACATCATGGAAGCGCTTTACTAGCATTTATGCGCCGTGTCAACAGCATATATTTAAATGAAGCTAGTCGGACTAAACGTATACATTTGTCATAACAGGTAGTTACAATCTCGATGAATTATAAATGGCAAGAGCGTTATGTTTTAGTAAGAGATAATTTACCTTCTTAAACACCAGATCTATTGGACATCCCACATTGACATCAATAAAATCAATATCCATCTTGTCATTAAGAATCTCAGCACATTTAGTCATTGTATCCGGGAAAGAACCACATAGCTAAAGAAAGGAATATTATTATAGGTATTAACCTTTTCACCACCAGACTTTTTCACCCAATTTTTTTTGCACTTTGTTCTTATACTATTCCATATTTTTGGCAATGAACCCAAATTTTGCAGCCAAGAGTAAATTTTGCTATTTTTCCCCCAATCTTCTGAAGGAAAGTGCAGACTATAAACGGGACTATTTTGTGAATTTGCGGTGAAAAGCGGGAACTGGTGGTGAAAAAACACATATAAGTAAACATTACATGATAAAAACAAATAAACATTATTGGTACATCAGTGCCTTCATTATCAATCTCTGCAATCCCCACCCCATACCACCATCATTGCGTCTTCCAACCGACATAAATTTCTCTTACCTGAACACCAAATAAATCCTCAGTATGGTGTCTTTTGACCAAAGCCCACTCAGACAGCTGACCTTGCAATAGATTGGTGCACATAGCCATTTCACCACATGTGATATCGGCTCCATATCGTTTACATATACGTCTGAATGGTAGGTTTCCAACCTGATTATCATTATCAGAAAATAATAAAAGTGGTAATGAGTAGATAATGAAAAATATGACAAGCACATCATAGCTTAGGTAAAGTTGAATCTCTTTGAAGTTTCAAAAGCGCATTGAGTATATTTAGTGGCAACAGAATCACAAGTTTCCTATAACTAAGAGGAAATGAAAGGGTTGTATCTCGTAATTATTGACCATACATGCATTTTGTTGATATGAACATGTCCATAACACTGAAATGTCAGATATTACCGGACCCTAAATAATTCATCACAGGGTGATAAAATGTTAAATATTGTTTTAAGATAATAACTTACTGTCGTCAACGGAGCTAAGTAAAGTTTATTGGAAAAGTCAATTTTCTTTTTCTCGCATATTCTCATCTTTACATCTTTATCTGGAATTGATTCTGAGAGACTTGGAGATGAGTTAACATGCATGTTATCCGTCTTGTTCTTTAAATCAACTTTGGGTTGTGATTCAACAGTAGTCTCTAAACTGCCAACAGGTCCTGCATCAGTTACACCCATAATGCCCTCTTCATTTTGTCCTGCGGCTGTAGTGGTTCCGTCAGACTTAACTTCATTGCTTTTATTCAAAGTTAGGTTTTCAACACTCAGACGCTTTTCTATACTATCTTTCAAAATAGAATGATTTTTTCCTTTCATATTCATCAGAGTATCTATAACCTTGCCAGCTTTTTCATACTTGTATTTTTTCTTCCACAGTAACCTTTGCAAATCTTTAGAAAGGACATTTTTGCTTGGAACATAGTCCTTAAATTTGTCATTGTCAATTAAATTTGTGTAGTCCTCACCGAGATGACTGGTACCAAAACGACACATAAGACTATAAAAACATTTTCCATAAGTCTCAAATGCATAACATTTGTCCCCAATATCAGGTGGTTTTGTAGTCATGAATTCTTTAACATTGTGCTCAAAGCGACATTTTTCACCGAAAGTGCAAACTTTTTCTGTAAGTATGCTAGGGCAGAGTCTGTCTGAGCAGTCTATTTTCTTGTCTCGAGGACGGTGTTTGTTTTGACCACGCGATTTTTCATGCTTTACTTTTTTCAAAGGCGGCTCATCAGTTTCATTATCCTTATTCGTCTTTTCCGTTTTCTCAGCATCTTTCTTCGTTCCTTCTGATTTTTCACGAGATAGTTTGATTTTTTCCCAATCAATGAATCTATAATCAAACCAAATAAACAGGTGATGGAAGTTTGTGTGCAGAATAAGCTCTTAAATCGTGAATTTAAATTCTGACTAAAAATGATTTATTAAACCCTTCAAGAGGGGTATATTTCATGTTACGTCACAAACCATCCAGTACGAGATGTTATAACATAATGAGTAATTTCAAGCTTTGTCTCCACAAAGGCTTTTATTTCTGAGCAACACCGTGAAATGAAATGAAATAGAAACAAGCAGCCTGAGATAGCTCAGCTGTTGGCAATGCACATTTCAATTGAAAATATCACAAAATGAACAAATCTGAGATCGGTTCACATGAGGTACTTATATGTAATATCAAAGCCATCAAACTAGCAGTTTTCAACAAGAAGTCAAAAATGGCACTTTTTACCAAAAATATTCACCAAAATTAGAGAATTTAAGATATCATCATGAAGTGAACAAATCTGAGAAAGGTCCACCTGAGGTATATGTATACTATCAAAGAAATTGGAATTGTGGTTTTCAACAAGAACTCGAAAATATCACTTTTTACCAAAAAATAACAAAAATATTCATCAAATTAGAGAATTGAATATATCTTCATGAAATGAACAAATTTGAGAGAGGTCCATCTGAGGTATCTATATGCATAATATCAAAGCGAATGGACTTGTGGTTTTCAACAAGAACTCGAAAATATCACTTTTTACCAAAAATTACAAAAATATTCACCAAAATTACAGAATTTAAGATATCATCATAACATGAACAAATCTGAGAGAGGTCTACCCAAAGTACATATACACCAAGTATCAAAGCATTGTAGTTCTCAGGAAAAACGTCGAAAAAAGTAAAATGTTGACACAGATGGACGACGACAGACAACGGTGAACAATCACTCAGGTTATAGAATATTATACATGTTAATTTTGTTATAATATGAATACATCACAGATGTGTTGGTAACTTTTGACAATCACATGTTAAATTCATTATTAGTCTCAATAATGATACTACTTTTAGTATCAATGTGGGTTCTGATAGCAAAATGGATATATAATAACAGCAACTTTGGCTACAATTTGAGCAACAAAGTGAAGTTCTAGCAATTCTATCCCTTTCCAAGACTGTTTCAAATGACGACATCCATATTCCTAAGTTCCTCAAATCTTGATGTTGATTACAGCATGGGAATAAACGTTGTGATTGGTGGAGCCATCCCAGCCATATACCTATTTTTATGTGTTGGCAATGTGCAATTATGGGAACAGCTCACATTAAGACAAAATTATTTTTTCAAATTAAATCAGATTTTGAGTGAAGTAACTATGGAAGTAAGCAATTAAACTACTTAAAATAAGTGAATATTGTCAGTTTGCTCAATGATTCATATTTGGTGCAATATGATGTTGGAACTGTAAATGTGAAAGAAAAGACAACACATGAATATTAATCAATCAGAGCCCTAGTAGGTTTTCCTTCCTGAATTTGTAACCACTGTATGTCGCCTAGTTTTTTGGTATTCTTTCTTCAATCAGTTGTTGGATAGTGATAAGTTTTTTCCCCCAGCCCGCACAAATTTTCGGAAATGTCCTGTGATGGCGCTATAACGTCCACGATGTTTCACATTGGCACTGACAGATGAAAACTTACTTGTCTTTTATTTTTGCCAATCCATCATTCTCGGTGGCTGCTACATTTTGCTGTCGCTGTTCCGTCAATTGTACTACGCTTGCACTACAACAACCGTCTGTGTTTGCTGTTGGTGGAGCTGCTGCTGCTGGACTTCTTTCGACTTCAAGTTCTTTCTCCATTTCGTCTTGGTGCAAACCACCCAGGCCACAACAAGCATCAAAACGAACACGAAGTTACAATATAAAATATATTCCTCCGTTGAAATATCTTTGAAAAACTCTGGAACTGCCATTCAAGTAGTAAACAACACTGTCATTAGCAGCGTAAAACAACCTCAGCCACGTACCAATAGCACGCACCAGTTGCAACTCACCATTAATCTGCAGTAAAATGTCGCAAACACGAATTGTGTAAGTGGTGGTGTCGTAAACTTGCAACACTTCTAAATTTACGTCATCGTTTTTTTGTAGAATTCATGCAATACTCGCTACATGTATAAAATATTCATATTACAATCACGCTCTAACAGTTATGTAAACATAGTACCGTAAACAAGTGAGTTCCGTTTTGCGCAGGTCATTCGCCCCTGTGCAGCTGATAGTCACCTGACACAACCACCCACAACTCACCGACATTTCATGTTCATTTCAATTTCTTCCCAGTTCTTCGATAATCTGCTTTGCCGTTTTGCGTATTCAGTGACCGTTTGGTAAGTAATATTTTTCTAACGCATCATCATTGTTCTAAAAAGTCAACTGAATTGGGCACAGATCTAGAAGCAGTACCTACACACGAATTGGTGACGTCATAAAATACATGACCTTCAATCGGGGTCGTTTCCTCGGTATATACGAATT